TATGAGCGGGTGTCGTCTGCAGGCCCAAGCCCACATCCTCCTCTGTTGGGACCAGTGCCCCTGCCTCCCCAGGCCTGGATGGCTGGGAGCAGACCTAGCCTCAGCAGCCTCCTGAAGTCCCAGGCATCAGCAGGATGCCCCGAAGGGTAGCATTGGTAAGCAAACCCCAGGAAGCTGGTGCAGTGTGGACCCCACTGGCCATGAGTTTGGGGTGGCGCGTGAGGGAGGGTACCAGAAAATGTAGGCTGCCTTGGGGCACAGAGGTTGCTGAAGGGGCAGCGTGTCGAACCCCTGGGGTACAATGTGGCCTGGGAGCGGGGAGGGGCACTCTGGGGCTGGCTGGGCTGTAGGAGGGGGCTCCCACTCTAGTTTGTGGGGGTGGAGGTGTGTCCCATGGCTTTAGGGACCCCATTAGGGCACCCTCCCTTCACATGGGGCAGCAGGTAGACGGACATGCTACCCAGCAGATCTAGGGTGAGTGAGTGTAGGTCTCTCCCCAGTGTGTCCCAAGGGGGCAGGTGCCTCCCTGAAGCCTGACTCAGTCCCTGGCTGTGCCTGGGGGCCCATGATGGAGTCTGGGGAGGCCAAGTGGAGGGTGTGGGAGGGGACGGTGAGCCGGGAGGGGAGGAGCCTGGAGGGCCATGGTTGCGGACGGGCTGCCTGTGTCTGGATCTGGAAGCCGTCGTGCCACCTCCCGGCAGCCCACTCAGGTCTTAGCAGGAGCCAAGTTGTCAGGGTCTCCACAGACAGGACAGAGACCTAGGAGGGTCCTCAGGGCTACTTCCCACCATGGCCTGGAGCCCCTCTGGGTCTCTGCCTGCTCCCTTCACCTGCCAGGCTTCTCTGGAGGGCAGGGGGCACCGAGGTCTAGGCACTCAGGCTCTGTGGTCTCTGCCAGCTGCACGCTGACCCCAGGGACTCTGACCCACCAGCCTGGCTGTCTACTGGGCCTCGTTCACCTGGTCACCTTCACGCTCTGGACAGCCCCAGGTGGGCTCCAGGGGGTGGGCACCTGTGGAAGGGTCGGGTCCTCTGGCTTTTGGAAGCAAGTGGGGGCAGTGCTGTCTGTCCAGTCCTCAGCTGGTGCCGTTGGCCAGGACCTGGGCAGTGGCAGCCCCTGGGGCCCCAAGTGGGCCCTCCCCCTGGTGCAGACTCGGGGCCACCAGGGGCCTGGGTCAGCCAAGGGGCTCTGCCCTGGCTGGTGCCCGGACGGCTGCCCCACCTGGCCCCCCACATCTCTGCTGGTTGTGGGGGGAACAATGCTAACCCCTCACCTCCAGATGGTCTGCGGGACTGGAGATGGATTGCAAGCAGCCGGCTGTCATTCCCACCTGGTGAGACGCCACTCAGCCTTCATCCCACCTCAGTGTTTCAGTTAACGGCCCTTTTGCTTGATCAAAGTGTAGCTTGTGTTTTTAACCCTTGGGGCTCTGCAGATGAAGGACCCAGCCCCCTCTGCCACCCGACCCTCTCTCCATGCACCAGCCCTCTAGGGGCTGGAAGTCGAGGACCCCACATCTGAGTTCAAGGGTGGAGGAGGGCGGCAGCTGCAGGCCAGTGGCCGGGGTCCTGGGCGGACCTCCCCCAAGGCCCTTTCTGCCCTCCGCTGAGCTTCCTGGACTCCTGACCCTTGTGGGCTCTGCCAGCTCTGGCCTCCACTTGGGGTGCCCACTGCTCCCCTGCCTCTGGGCCATCCCCACCAACCCGTGTTCCTGGGGTCCTTGGGGCTGGAATTCGACCTGGGAGTGGGCCCTAATTCCTCACCACTGGGGTCCTTACAAAGGAGGGAGATGGCCACGTGGAGACAGAGGCAGGGTCTGGGGTGACGTGGCCGTGGAACCCCACTGCGGCCGGGCACCAATGGAAGCTGGAAGAGACACAGAAGGACCCTCCCCAAGAGGCTGTGGCGGGAGGGCGGCCCTGCCCACCCCTGGCTTGGGACTCCTGACCTGCAGACGCCGAGACAGCCTTCTGTGGCTTGAAGCCCCTGCATTGCTGGTACCCAGGACACTCAGCCGGGGCCACAGAGAGCCGCCCCCATCCACGCGCTTTTAGCGGCTGTCCCAGCCTCTCCGCTCCAGGGCAGCCCCCTGGCCACATCGGCCAGACCAGGCCGCGCCTCTGGGCAGGTGGTGGCAGGAGGCCCAGGCCCGGCTCCCAGGCAACAGCTACTGGGAAAGGGACCCTGGTCCTCGGAGAGTGGAGGCCTTGAGGCTAGGCCTACAGACACCTCAGACGCACACCGGACACATGCCCTTGTCTGAGCCTTGTCTGGTCCTTGAGGGGCTCCCTGTCAGGCTATTGAGCAGGGTGCAGGCGGTGGGGGCAGGAGGGTCCAGCCAGGCCAGGCTCCAGATTCTGGGGCTTGACAGTAGTCACGGGGGCATGGGCAGTTACGATGCAGTTAAATGCTGGAGCGCTGTACAGTAGTTCATATATTTATTCTTAAGCAAGTTATCGATAAAAAAATTAATACTAAAATGCCTTTCGGTAGCCTGGTGTTCATAAAACCTTTGTGTTGTCTGTTTTTAGTGTTTACATTGAAAAAAAATTCCAACCAGCATCTTACTTACACATTTACAATAACCGCGTTTTTGTCGCGTTTGACCACGGTGGGGGACGGGGGCACGCCATCCACACAGACAGACGGACAGACAGAAGGAAAAAGAGAAGACGTGAGGGAAGGTGGGAAACACAAGACGAGCCTGCAGACGCCGACAGGACCAGACGAGGCCCCTCTCCTCGGGCTCAAACTCGCGGCCCTGGGCTGGAAGCCCGTTCGGTTCACGGTCCTGCTGCCTTGTGCACCCCGCTTCCCTTCCCCACAGCGCGCCTCACCCCCAGCTGTGCACAGAGCCTCGGCCTCGGCCTGGCCGTCTCCACAGACACTCCGGGAATGACATATTGCACTCGGGCCTGGCCAGAGGGGAGAACTGGGGGTGGGAGCACTGAAGTGGGATGCAGGGGACCCCAATAATAAAACGGCCCCCGCCACCCCCATGCTGCCAATGGGGTCCTCAGGCATCATGAGGGCTTTGAGGTGAAGTGGCAGCAGCGGGAGGTGTGAGGATCTGGGTGCAGCGTCCGGCTGTGCGAGGAGATGGGGGCAGAGGGCTGAGCTGGGGTTGGGGTATCAGACACCACCACCGTGCCTGTGGCGAGAAGCCTGACAGTGTGGTCTCTTGGGGACCTCAGTGCAGCTGCAGGGCAGCACTAGAGGGGCTCACGGGGGGGTGCCTTCTGAGCACACATGGGGAGCAGGCAGCTCTGAGCACATTTCCATGGAGGGGGGCTGTTGGGGGTGAGGCCTGTGGGGCCCCGCCTGACCTTCCCATCTCTCTTGGCCCTGAAGAAGGGAAGGAGTAATGAGTTCTGGGGTTACCAGGGGGTGCACCTTGGGCAGCAGGAGGGGCTCATAGCTTGGGGGGCCGCTGCCTGGGGGCCAGGGTAGAGACCCTTCCTCATTCTAGCCCCAGGCATTAACCCATGAGGCCATCTCCCCGCCAAGCAGCCTCAGGAAAGTCCAGGCAACCTCTGTGGGTGTGGGGCCTGGTCCCTAGGCAGGGAGAGGGGTCCGAGGGGCCGGGGTAGGAGTGGGAGGGAGAAAGCAATGGGCGGGCCCAGCCCTTGTGTACTTTCTCCTCCAGCCCCAGTGCCTCTGGCCTGGCCTCCTGCCACCGGGGCCCTGAGCTGCTCAGGGAGGCTTTGGAGTACCCAGGAGGGTATCTGGGGTGAAGAAAAGGGTGAGGTGTGAAGACCTGCACCAGGCGGGCTGAGGAGGGCCAGGCCAGAGCCCACGTACCAAGTCCAGGTCGGTGCCACGACGAATTCCCACCCTGAGGGGCCATTCATATCCTCGCCTGGGCTCAGCAAACACTGTGGTGCGAGGGGACAGGGGTACACCGAGTGTGGTCAGGTAGGAAGAGGGCAGGTGTCCCTGCTCTGAGAGGAGGCTCGCTTTGCCCTTCCCAACGCACAGGCCAGGAGGACAAGCTAGCTCAGAAAGGACTTGGAATTAGGAGAAAAAACCCCAAAATGTCACTTTTCCTCACAGATACTTGACAAATACTTGTTCGTTGTGTTCTGTCTTAAACAGAGGTAAGATGCACATGGCTGCTGTCGCGCTGCAGGCTGGGGGCTGTCGCCCGGGGTCCAGGTGATCCGGCCCCCTTTCCCTCTCAGGCGGCCTCCTCACTGCCCCCCACCCCAATGCACTTCCCACCCAGGGGATGGACAGGAAGGAAGCCGACTGGAGCGAGACTTCTGTCCTGCAAGTGCCTTCCCCTAAGGAGAGTGCAGGCCATTGGAGGTTCTGTGCCCTCCTCATGGGGACCCGGGCTCTGCCTGGCCTTCCCCCCCTGCCCGACCCCAAGCTGCCTCCCTCGTCCCACATGGCCCAGTCTGCACCTCTCAGCCAGGCTGGGAAACAGTGTATTTTCAAAGAAAGCAAACCCCCCAAACAAAACCACTACACACACACGCACACACACGCACACATATACATACACACGCACACACGTCCTTGTCACGTGTGTGGGGAAAATACAACCCTTTTCCACTTTTTTTTTCCATAAAATGTCCCCGGAGAAATACAATATTTACAGAGAAATAAATAGACAATACACCTGATTCGTTTTCCCTGGCGGGGGCAGGCGGAGGTACTAGGGAAATATGGCTTGGATTCTAATCTCTCGTGAACTGCCAATGCGGGGGACAGAGGGCGCCCTGCGGGGCGGGCAGGCTGGGTGAGGCCAGGTCCCCCGTGGGCACAGCTCACCCCCGCAGCGCATGGGAAGGGGCTGGATTCCAATGCCAAAGAGCTTGCTCTTTCCAGGGAAAATAGCAATAAAAAAAGCCTGAATCTTGGGCAGTGGGTTTGCATATCTGCTCCCCTGGCCCCTTGGAGGCCCGATGGGGCTGCCCGCCGGCCGGTCCTGGAGCACGGGGCCCCGGGCCTTGGGAGGCACGGGGTGGAAGCTGGCGGCGGGCTCCGGCCTCGGTCAGCACAGGATGGGCACGCCGTCAGCGGTCACCAGCCGCCCGGTGGTGGGATCGTAAGTGCCTGCCAGGTAGTAGAGGTCCTGCCGGTCCTGGTACCTGCGGCTTTGGGTCATCTGCTCGTACTGCTCACGCCCCACCACCCAGCACTTATGGGAGATGGTTTGGACATCATTCTCATCTTCATGGCAGGACTGATAGAGCGCGTTCTGCGGGCGGGTGGGGACACAGGTGTCAGCGCCGGGCTCCCATGCGCCCCATGGCCCCAGCTGGGAGGAGACGTCCCTGTCTGGGAGGCACTTGGGTAAGCCTCTTTTCATCGACCTCTTTGGCCACTCACCCTGCAGGGTTGGAGATACCTGCCTCCCCAACGTGGACGCCTGACTGCTCTGTCTATAAACATGGTTTCTTCTCAAGGAGGAAGATTGTGGGGGGTATTTTCTGTCTATGGGATTGGAGGGTGCATGGGGGCTGCCTGTCCAATCCCTGCGGACTTGCCGCACAGAGCCCCAGGGTGACAACATCACCCACTTTACTGGGGCCACAGAGAGGACGGCAGGCACGGGGTGCCTCCTGCCGGAGGCTGCATGGTGGTGGTGGGTGCTCCCGGACAGCCACCTGCCGGCCTGGGCCAGAGGTGTCAGCCCCGGGTGCTGGGGTGGCCACCTCACCTTGCCATCACTCTGCCGCTTCCCCAGCTTGGTCTCCTCCGGGTGGTAGAACCACTTCACCCTCACCACCATGTTGCTGCCCCATGACTCCCACATGCTCTCGATGCGGCCAATGTAGGGCAGGTTGGGGCGGCCGGCGGACAGGAAGACAGCACAGTCTCCCACACACAGCGTCTCCTTGTCCCGGACAATTGCCTTGTAGAACAGCTTCCTGGCCTTCCCCTTCATGCCCCGCCTCTGCAGGGGACAACACAGGGCAGGGGCGGTGAGGGAGGTGCAGACGCAGGACCCGCGTGTGCGTGCGTATGCAAGTGCACACACATGCACTCACACGTGGGCTCTGGGGAGGGCAGGAAACGGCGGGAGGGAGGCCGGGGAAGCCATGGAGCCTGGGCTGGCTCTGTGTCCTGCCTCCACGGTTACGTGAGCTGCGAAGGAAGGCTGTTTCCAAGAGCAAGGCCCGAGCTCTGCTGTAAACAGTGGGTGTGTCAACACCGGACCGCCAACTGCAACCAGCCAAAACGCAAAACCAAGCCACATGCTATAGAAGACACTGCGCAGGCTCCTGGCTGTGATCTTTGTGGGGGACCCTGGGGCGCAGCTGCTAACGAAAGCTCTATGGTTCAAACCACCAGCTACTTGGCGGGAGAATGATGAGGCAGTCTGCTTCCATGAAGACTGACAGCCTTGGAGACCCTGTGGGCAGTTCCACTCTGTCCTCTAGGGGCGCTGTGGGTCAGAATGGACTCCACTCTGGGTTTTTAACCTTTCTGGAAGCAGAATGCCAGGCCTTCCCTTCCGAGGTGGGTTGAACACCAGGAGAAGTTTGTGCCGGGGAAGAGAGGGTTAGGGCTCTCTGTGCTTTCTTCATTTTTTCCATAAACCTAAAACCGTCCTAAAAAATAATGTCTATTAAAGTGCGAATAACTAAACGTCCACCCATAGAATGCTGTCAAAAAACCTGAAAACAAAACCTGGTGCAACCTCTAAGCAACAGAGACCCTCTCAGCCCCGCTCCCCAGAGCCGGCCACAGGAGATGCTCCAGCAACACCGAGCAAAGCAACAACACGAAATCGCCTCGAGCCCGTGGCCTGAGTGACGGTCATGCAGGGAACGGCACGGGACGGACAGAGGGCCAGGAGGGAACTGGCCACAGTGGTCACGGACCTCACGGGGTCGTGGGGTGGGTTTGTTCTTTCCTTGAGTTTACAAATCTTTAGTTGAAATGGAACAGCAACACCACCCCAAAAATTGCACGTGAAGGGAGAGAGGGGACTCCATGTCTGGGACTCCCTGTCCTGGGAGCCAGGCCCACCTACCTGTGTGGGGTTCCCCGACCACTTCCAGAGCTGCCGGGCAGGCAGGAAGGCCGAGATCTTTGGCCGGTTCTCCACGGAGGGCAGCCGCTGCCTCCGGGAGAGCTCTTTGGCTTTGGGGAAACTCAGGGCCTCCTTGCGCTTGAGCCTGGGTTTGCTGCTGCTGGAACCGGTGCCCGTGTTCCCGCCGGCCGCCGAGGCCCGGGACAGGAAGCAGCGCTGGGCGTGCGCGTGGGGGCCGCCCCCCTTGGGGCGCAGGGCATCAGGCTGGGCCAGCAGGGCGGGCACAGGGTGGGTGAGGCAGGTCTGAAGCAGCAGGGCCGGGTCCTCGTCGTCCGAGCTGTAGGACGAGTCCTCGTTGTCAGAGGAGCAGAGGCTGGAGGTGGACACGGAGCCTGAGGACGAGGTCGTGGAGGAGCTGGATGAGGACGGGGACACGGACAGGCGGGTGAGGAAGCGGGAGGGCACACCGGCCGCCAAGGCGGGGCCGTCCTCGTCCTCGTCCGAGTAGGAGCTGGGACAGTCGCTGTCACAGGGGAGGGGGTAGTCGGCCTGGCCCGCCGCATACTTTCGCAGCGTCAGCCCCATGGGCAGTGGGTGTACAGACGCCCGCCCTTTCTTGTCTTTGCCCACCAGGGCCGAGTGCGTGTAGCTGGGCGTGGGCAGGGGCCGGCCTAGCTTGGGCGCCAGCTCCTTGGTGCCCATCAGCAGGGCCTTGCAGGTCTTGTTCTTGGGTGAGGTCACGCCCTCGTGGTCCAGCTTGACGAGGAACTCGCCTCCCACCCGCCGCCGCCCACCCTTCTCCGCCTCGGCCTTCTTGGCCCGGAGCAGCTTGTGGGCACCCCCGGGCAGGCCCGGTCCGGCCCCGCCACCGAAGGGTGCGTAGGAGCTGGCCAGGCTGCTGAAGGAGGCGGCCCGGAAGCCGTTGCCGAACACGGGTGCGGCCACGCTGTGCACGGGGAACAGTGCCTCGCGGGTACGGAGCTTCTTGGCGCCACCATTGAGCTGAAAGAAGTTGTGCAGGGAGCCCGGGCCTTTGGCCGCTGCCCCCGCCTTCCGCTTGGTCTGTGACACGGCCGACCAGCTCAGCAGGGGGCTGGCCCGGCGGCCCAGGAAGTGCTCTGTGGCTCCAGCGGGGGGTTTGGCACCTGAGGTTCCAAGGTCGGCTTTGCCTGGGGCGGGGACAGAGAGAATCAGTGTGGCCCTCCGACCTGGCCGAGCTGCCCCGAACCCGGGCCCCGGCTGCCCCGTGGATACCGGCTTTGTCTTTGCTGATGGATTTCTTCCCCGCAGTCTTGGAGACTTCGGGGCCATCATGCACCTTGGGGGACAGGCTGGGGGCGGGGGTCTCACTGGGCGGGGGGGCCTCGCTTGACGCTTTCTTGCTTCTCCGGCAGCTGCTGGCTACAAGCAAAGCTGGGGAGGGCTCTGTGCCTGCAAGGGGGACAGTGGCCTGTGAGTGCCACGCCCCAGGGTGACTGCCACCCTGCCTCCCAGACACACGTGACTGCAAGGCCCAGGGCAGCTGCTTGAAGAGGACAGGCAGCCCCTCCCTGGGGATACGCCCTCCCCAGGACCACTCCCCGTCCCTGGAGGTCATCTCCTCCCTGAGGGTCACCTCTTCCTGGTAGGTGGCCCTCTCCCCATGGCTCACCCCGTCCTCAGGACCAGCCCCTCCTGGGCTGCCCCACACTCACACTGGATCTTGAAGTCTGGAGGCAGCAGCCGGATGTTGGAGACAGCAATGTGACCTGTGTCCCCGTCATCGAACTCCACCACCACAGAGTCCAGGTCTTCCTCCTCATCACTGGAGGTCCCTGTGGAAGGGACCCTGACATCAGGGACCTCTCTCACCCGTGCATAGCACCCGTAGGACCTTTGGGTGCCGAGGTCCCAGGGATGGGGAGGCAGGGTCCTGGGATGGGGGAGGGCAACTGGACTCAGGTAGGGCAACAGGTGGGGCTCAAAGGTCCCTGACAAGTGTCACAGACAGACATTGCTCCTTGATCACACTGGACCTGGAGCTGCCTCTCAGCCTGGGAGCAGGTGCCTCCCTTTGGTCTCATCCTGAGGCTGCAATGTTATCGCCAGCCATCCATCATTCCACCTAGGGCCGCAGGGCCTCATGGGAGCAGACACATGTGCACACATGAGCACACACGGACATGTGTTTTCACGTCACACCGACGGACCCTGGGGGTCCAGAGGACCAGGTGACTCCTCTGGTGACCCTCAGAAGCAAGGTGTCCTCCCAGCCAGACTCCCTCTGGTCTAGACAGCTCATCACAGCTTCCCCCGCCCCACTCCTGCCCGCCCCCCACAACCCACTCTGTTTTCCGGGTGACTGTGAGTGGATTCCCTTGTCCTGCTCTGGAGGGCAGAGGGGCTGGCCCGACCTGGGACCCTGAGCCCAGGCCTCGGCGGGCTCACCTCGGACCACGTTGCCCGGGTACAGGCAGCGGGACTTCTGGCTCCAGTAGGCGCAGACCCGGGTGCCTGGTGGCAGGTGCCGGCTGGACTGGGGCCGGACATCCAGGACCTGCCGGGAGAGAACGAGTGCCGGCCCGTGAGTGGGCAGGGCCGGGTGCGGGTGCCCGGGCCCCAGACGTCCCCCAGCAGCCCCTCACCGCCTCTTGCAGCAGCTGCTCCAGAGAGTAGATCCTCTGCCGGTTCCCTCGCTCGCCTTCAATGACGACACTGTAGCTGGGAAGGGAGAGGGGGGACAGGGGTGTGAGGGGAGCCTGGGGCCGCCGCCCGCCCGCCCACCCGCCTCCACCCCGGCCTACATGTCTGGGGGCTGCAGGGTCCTGACGCTGCCCGCGTACAGCAGGCTGTCCTCCTTGGGGATGAGCACGGGCAGGCCGTCCTGCAGGTCTTCTTTGTGGATCACACACGAGCGTGCTGCAGGGAGTGGGGTGGTGTCAGCGACCCCCACGGCCCAGCCCGAGGCCCCGCAGCGAGCTCGACGAGGCCGCCCCCAGCCCCGCTCACCCAGGGCGGCCCTCTGCTCAGCGCTCAGGGGGCCGCTGGCCTCGCCGTCCTCCCCCTCTGCCTCCGAGAAGCTGCTGTCCTCATCAAACTCGAAGTCGTCCTCCACGGCGAAGCTCTCCAACAGCCGGCTCACGGCCCGGCCCTTGCCCTGGGAGCAGAGGGGTCAGTGCCGGTGCAGGGCAGGGGCGGGAGGGGCCGGGTTCCTGGGGCGGGCGGGGCCACACCTGCTTGCTGACAGCCGCACTCTTCACAGCACCCAGCTTCCTGCCCTTGCCCAGGATGGCCTTGGCGTTGCGCGGCGACAGGGTGATGGACAGGGCCCCGTTCTTCCGCTGGGTGGGGGCGGACAGAGAAGGGGCAGTGTGAGGGTGGCACCTGGACCCAGGGGCACGAGGTGGGAGGGTCCCTGGGCCGACGCTCACCTGAAGCACCGGCCGCAGCACGGAGCTCTTGCGCGTGGCTCTCTTGAGGCGCTCACTGGTCAGCTTGCTGCCCTCCTCGTGGCAGCCGAAGGCGCGGGCAGGGCCTAAGAGGGCGTCCCTGGTGGCGGGGGCCCCTGGCTCTGCCCGCAGACCTCCCCTGCCTTTGCCCTTGGCTTTCTTCTTACTGGGCGCTCCAGGCGGCCTCTGCCCTGGGACCCGCTCCAGCTTGGCGGCCACCTTGGCCTTCACTGCCCTCCTCCTGATCTTGACCTCGCTCTCGGGGCTGGACAGGCGGCAGGCCCCTGTGGGAGGGAGGAGAGGTGTCGCAGGGGGCTCCTGGAAGGCCCCACCTGCCCGAGCCCACCACCCTGGTTACCAAGGTTACCAAGGAGGCCCTGCCGCTCTTTCTTCTTCTTGGCCTTCTGGTTGGCCTCCATCTTGACCACGGAGGAGGGTGAGGGCCCCAGCACGGCCACGCCGGCCCCGTGCAATGCCAGCCCCGACTCCTTGGGCGGCACCTCAGTTCCCAGGAGCCCCCTGCAGTCCTCACTGTCAGAGCCACTGCCTGAGAGAGAGGGACAGGTCCTGTGACTGCGCATCACAGGGGTGTCGTGCTGGGGGCGCTGACCACACGTGCGCGTGACGAACACTGGGGTGGTGGCGGACGGGTCACTGTCAGCCCCTTGGCTGCCCTTGCCCACGTGGGAGGGAATAGGGCCTCAGCCGCCACGCCTTCGGGGCCCGTGGCTCTCTCACACCCTGGGCGCAGGTCCCTCCTGGCAGCCCCTCCGCCTCTTCCTCGTCCAGCGGGGCCTGGCTGTCCCCCAGCCTGAGCTCTGCTTCCTCTCCGCCTCAGCAGAGGGGCGCCTCCCTTAGTTGTTTGTCAGGGAGGGCCCTGAGGGGCTGAGGAGGAAGCGTCTCTTTGTCCAGGAGGGTCTCTGGACACGTGTGCTCACAGGCCAGAGCACCTCCGGGCTGGCCTGGCCGCCGCTGCGGAAGGCGTGGGGCGGGGGCGGGGGGGGGGGCCGCTATTTTTAAGCCCATTTTCCAGGATGCGGTACTGAGCTCTGACCCTGGGGTCACCGTCCCCCAGCCTGTCCATACAGAAGTCCTCCCTCTTCCTATCACATGCCACCCGCCCTGACCTGTTCTGGAGGTGGCTGGGTCCCCCCAGGGACCGGCCCGGAGGCTCCTGCTGCGGCCCCAACTTGCCTGCCTCCGGTCCCGAGGTCCCCGCTGGCTTGCCCAGGAACTTGGGTGCCTCCTTGCCACTGTCGCCCTGGGGCTGTGGGGGCCGGGCCACTCCAGACACCTTGGTGCTCTTGGCACCGGACAGCTTCTTGTGCACACGCCCTGTTGGGAAGGGGCTGAGGCCTGGAGGCAGCCCCTTGTTCTTGACCTTCGGCTTCAGCTGGGCCACCTTGTGGGCCACGACGGCGGCCAGCTTGCCCTGGGGGCCGCTCTTCTCACGCTCCTGTGGACGGACCAACAGGGCAGCAACTTGTGGGCTCTGCACCCACAGGGCGGCCACTCAAAGCGGGCACCTCCAGGTCCTTGGGGGGTCTCCTCCAAGCCCCGGACTGCCCACCCACTGTGGGTGGGGAGGCAGGGCCTTGTGAACAGCTCACAGCTGGTGGGCACAGCTTTTCTACAGGGGGCTGCAGGCATGTCCTGAGAGCAGCGGTTCAGGATGGGGTCAGAGGTCTACACGCTCTGTCCCTCGGCCCTGGGACGGGGTAGGACACCCCTTACTGAGGAGGAACAGGTAGGTGCTGGCCGCTCGTGGGAGAGCAAGTCCCCTGGGGTAAGGAGGCTACACTCAGGGGTGTGCTGGCACTGTGGGCAGCACTCTCCCAAGCTCCTCTGAAAGTGTGGGGCTCCTGTGCTGTGACCCAGACACTGGTTCTTCCTCTAGGGCGAGTGGGGGAGGGAACATCATAAGTAGCAACGTCGGGGGGGCCTTGCTCTGGTGAGGCGGCTTGGGGGGCAGCCTGAGCGTGGCCCCCACCTCAGCACAGACATCCTTCCGTGGTGTCTCCCCCACAGCGGGGCCGGGAACCACATCTGTGGGATGCTCTGTGAGCCAGTGACGGGGGGCAGGAGAGATGGAAGTGGCCCCTTGCCAAGTATCCATCACATTGGCACGAGGAACGTGTGCCAGGTTCCCACGGCTCCCAGCCAGCTGCCCAGTGACCTGCTGTATCACATTTGCTGGCACCAGCCTCGTCGCCAGCTACCTGGGAACCCCAGCGGGTGCTGGCCCAGGGGGCCGAGCACCTCTGCCTGTGTGTGGACACCAGCAGCTTTGACTGGGGCTGTGGGGGGGTGCTCACCGCAGGGGTGGCCTGCAGGCCCACGTAGACGTCCTGGTCCAGGCGGCTCCGCTTCTCAGGGGGCTCCCCAGCGCCCCGCAGCTCGGCACACAGCAGACCCAGGCTGGTCCTCATTGCCCTGGGGACACCGGCAGGTGGGTGTGGGGGACAGGTGCAGGGCCCCACCTGGCTCCCCAAAGCTGTTCTCTACCCCACCCCTGGTGGTGCCAGTCAGGCAGGTCACAGCCTGGCCCCCCGAGGTCCCTCCTTCTCTCCTGACGGGCTCCTAGTGCAGATGCGGCTCAGTACAGCCCATCCTGTGGAGGGGTGAGGCAGCCCTCTACTCCCCACCCCGGCCTTCACCCTGCCCCTCAGCTACCATACGGTCATGGCCATGGTGATCGAGGGGGCCAGGGGAGTTGGGGAGCCAGGCTGTGCAGCTGGCTGGGACACTGTGTGCCCAGGCCCAAGGCCTCAGTCTTTCTCCTTGGAAAATGGGATGACAACTAGGCCTTTCTGCAGCGTCAGGGGGAGGGATCACAGGGACGAGGCAAGACCCAGCACAGCCCTCAGAAAGTACCAGGCCGACTCAGCCACAGTCAGGGACAGAGAGGACACGGGGGCAGTGGAGAACGGTCTACCCCCAGTATCAGTGCCCTACTTGGAGCTGGGGCAGTATGGACCCTGGCCTGCACAGGGCCAGTCACTGTCTCCTAACACCCCAAGAGTCACAACCCAGTCACTGCCTGGTCCTCCCCACTGCTGGGCTCCCTGCCTGGGGTACTGCACTGGCCCCTACAACTCCGTCTGCTGGATTTCATTCTCCCACGCCCCTTTCACATGGGGAGCCTTGGCTGCCTGCTCTGGACCAGGTGGGGGCTGGGAGTTTGGGGTGTCACCCAGGCCCTCCCCTTGCAGCCCCCCATCCCCAGGTTGCTGAAGGAGCTCTGTTGTACAGTGAGACGGGGTCATGGACAGAGGCTGGGAGCCCTGCCAACTGTGTGGCTATCACCTTCCTGCCTAGAGTGGGGGTCAGGTCAGGTCGGCCAGGGACTGTGGGAAGCCACCACAAGGACTTGCAGCTACCACCCGTCTGACTTCCTGCCCCCCGGGGCCCCGATGCCAACTGCCCCTTGCAGGGCTCCCAAAGTGGGACAGGCGCCCAGAGCTGGGGAGGAGGTAGAGAGAGGAAGGGGGGTCCTGGGGAGGGGCCCTCAGTTCCTTCTGTCCTGGGGTCACTACCTTTCAGGCAACAGCGGCTGCCTGGGTGGGGCCTGGCTTCCCTGGGTCAGCAGAGTGGCTGCAAACCCATGGGGGCTTCTGTGGCTGGGGACTGGGTGCCAGGCAGCTTTGAGCCACAGCACGGGGCAGCCTTGCCAGGCCCCAGGCAGCGCCCACACTGGCCAGCAGCCCCCATGACCCTGGCTGGTTCTCAGAGGGGTCCCTGGGAGTCCCCTGCTGGGCGACACCTGGGCTAGGCAGAGGGACAGCTCAGGGAGGCCCCGCCCCCCACCATATGGTGCGTCCCTCCACCGCCCACAGCCGAAGCCAGCTCCCCCTCCTCGTAACCTTCCCTGCTTTTGCTAATGTTTTGTGACATAAAGCCCCAAGATTAATTTTTTGCCTCTGTCTTAATTGAAGGAACCATTTAGTGCCGATTTTACTATTATTACCAAATCATCAGGGCTGCTACTGCTGGAGCCAGCTCGCGCCAATAGAGTTTGGAGGCGCTCAGAGGATTTATGCAAATGGGCCTGCCGGGAGAGGCAATTTGTAGCGAAGAAGGACAATTATACCAGGCCCGGGAGTGCGCCTACGAGCGCCGGGCGGGTGATGGGCAATAACTCGCGGCAGCCGTGGGCAGCACCGCAGCGTGACCAACAGCTTATACCGGGCAGATAAAGGGCTTTCACGCCACGCCGCCTCACCAGGGGGACGCGGTGCAGGTGAGCCGCGCTGGGTGCCTGGGCTCCGGGGCTGGGGCTCCCCGGGGGGCCCTGAGCCCGAGGTGGTACCTGGGCTGCAGCAGCCAAAGGAAGGGGTCCCTGTGCTTGGCGGTGTTCCCGTGATGCCCTCACATCCCCGACTCACTTGACTCTCTTGCCATCGCCCCTGGCCAGCTGGCCCCCAGGACGCAAGGCGGGCAGAGAACTGGAGTGTTTCCGTTTCCGGGGCCTCCCTGGCCCACGCCGAGCAGGGCTGCGCGAGCTCTCGTCTCTCCTGGGGGCCGCGGAGGAGCAGTCAGAGGCCGATGGTACCCTGGCCCCTGCAGAGGAGCCCCTGCCCCAGGAGGGCTAAGGGCTGCCCCAGCCCTGCAGCCGGCCCACCCTATGTAGTCTGAGCCCCACTGCAACTGCAGGGCTCACTCTGCCCCCATGACCCCTAGCCCCCACCCGGCCTCTTAGCACCTCCTGGGACCCCCAGCCCCCACCTGGCCTCTCAGCATCTCCTCTGATGGTTCCCCAGAACCAGTATCCCCACCACGGCCCCCCCTCCTCACGGTCATCCCCCCGACTCCCCCCACCTACTAGTGGTTGTCACCCCCCTGTGGCCCCCACCTACTCATGTTCGTGTTCTCCCCGCGGCCCCCCCCACCTACTCATGGTCACCCTCCCCACGGCTCCCCCTCCTCATGGTCGTCCCCCGACCCCCTCCTCGCAGTCCCCCCATGGCCCCCCACCT